CGTCGTCGTTGGATCGCAGGTGCAACACAACTGAATGCGAGAGAGAGAAGTAGTGTGTGTGTGTGTGTGTGTGTGTGTGTGTGTGTGTGTGGGTGGGTGGGTGGGTGGGTGGGTGTGGGTGGGTGGGTGTGGGTGGGTGTGAATGCGCCGTTTCATGTTCCGTGCATACGCGCGTGTCTGACTTTTTCCAAACGACCTTGAGGACCCAAAAGGAACTTGCCGCTAAACTTCTTCCGTGTGGTCCGTTACATGCAGTGACAAGACTGTGACAGGCAAAACCATCGTGGCAAACGGCACGCTGACCAACACCAACGCCACAAACCCCGCGCGCTTCACGGAAAGCTTCTTTCCCTTCACACCCAAGGTGCGAGCACAGGCTTGTGTCAAATCAACAATCAACAATCAATGGTGTGCTATTGTTCTGTGCAGAGGATTCCGCGGTTCGGCAGTTCCACCGGCAGTTTGCATGGCCTTTTGCATCGACTCATACGTGTGCGTGTTCTCGTTGCCCCCCTCCCCTTGCAGGTCGCCTATAATGTGATTTACTTGGATGAGAAGTACAGCATCGAGTACGACTGCGGGCAAGAAGCAGGCATCACAAACGTCAGTGTTGCGCGCGCATGTGTGTCAACGTTGTACCTGTTTGTTGTACGTGTACATGTGAGCACATGCACTCTGTGTACGTGTGCACAAGCACCCGAGAACATGTGCTTTCCTTGTCGGTGTTCTCACCCCGCTGCGCCGCACCCACCACTGCCATCACAGTACTGCTTCCACGTGTTGGCGCGAAAGCCGCAGGTGCCGGAGGAAGATGTGCAGCAGCTGCTGCAGCTGGCTGTGCGCTTTGATCTCAACCCAAAGAACATCCCGTTCAAGCCCACCAAGCAGCAGGGCTGCTGGAACCAGCACCAAGAGTAAACCCAACAGCAAACAGCAAAGAGCAAACCGCGTGTGTGTGTGTGTGCGCGCGCGTGGGCGTGTGTGCGTGAAGGCGGGTGTGTCTTGATTGACGTGCGACAGAGGAGGAGGAGGACAAGAGAAGCTGTGTCATAGTGTCATGGTCCTGAGATTGTCAAACATCAAAAGCTGTGCTGCTGATTCATCCAATTTGGCCACTGCAACAAACAGCAACGCAAAACCCACGCACGCAAACGCAAGGCGACACAAGACACGAGCAATCCAGCAACTGTTTGCGATTGGAGGCTTACGACGTTGAGAGTCAAAGACAGACAGCAGTGATGGAGGGCTTGATTCCCGTGATCGGCAAGCTGCAGGATGTGTTCCAGACAGCCGGGCAGCACACAGGCATCGACCTGCCACAGATCGTCGTCGTTGGATCGCAGGTGCAACACAACTGAATGCGCGCGTGTGTGTGTGTGTGTGTGTGTGTGTGTATGAACATAAGTGTGTGCGTGTCGTGCAATGTCCATGCCCGGCCTCCACTCACCCCTCAGCACACTGCACCCCCTCCTTCTCCTCTGCGAACACATCGTTGTTTGTTCTCGAAGAGCTGTGGCAAGAGTTCTGTGCTGGAGAACATTGTGGGGCGCGACTTCTTGCCCCGCGGTATTGGCATTGTCACGCGCGTGCCGCTCATCATTCACCTCAAGGCCGTGCCTCCGCTCAAGGAACGAGGTGTGTATGCCTGCGTGTGCATGTGTGTGCGTGTGTGTGTGTGTGTGTGTGTGTGTGTGTGTGTGTGTGTCTGCACTCACATGCTCTTCCCTGAATGCATGTGTGAATGTCTATGTTGTGTTGGTCTACACCCACACACCCATCTCACCCCTGAATGTGTGCGTGCTTCTTCCTGATGTAACTTCAGGCCATAGCCATGCAATGCCACACGTTGAGGAGTGGGCCAAGTTCCTTCACACGGGCACCAAAGTCAGTGGGTCAAACGTGCCACCTGAGCGCATGTGCGTGTACATGTCTATGGTTTCGCTCAGAGTAATAGGGTCCGCAGCAAGTGTCCGCTTTCTCCGTCTCCCTATCTCTTATATATACTCGTGTCACCCTCGGTGTCCACACGTGATGTCACTCTTTCACACGCAAACGCAGGTGTTTGAGAACTTTGAGGACGTCAAGCATGAGATCAGCCGCAGAACTGTCGAGATCACAGGCGCCAACAAGGTACAACAAAGATAAGCAAGCCATCAACCTGCAAGTCGTCACACACACACACACACACACACACACACACACACACACACACACACACACGCACACACACACACACACAAACAAGAACGCACACTGACGGCACCCGTGACAGCGCTGGAGCAAGAACCCGAGCACACACAGAGCGCGTGGCACGAGAAGGACCGTACCGTACGTACGTCGTACACACACACACACACACACACACACACACACACACACACACACACACACACACACACACACACACACGCACACACACACACACACACAAACCACAGGATGCGCTGAAGAAGGAGGAGCAGTTTTTCAAGACGCACTACCCGCTGCTGGCGCGGCGGTGCGGCACACCGCATCTCTCTCGCACTCTCAACACCATCCTCCTCCATCGCATTCGCGGCTCCCTTCCAGTCCTGCGCAACACCATCATGCGCAAACAGGTTCGACGACACCCCCAGCAACACTTGCGGCTTTGTGCGTGCGTGCGCGCGCGCGTGTGTGTGTGTATGATTCATCATCTGTCTCGCGACCATCACTCCCCTGCTCACCTCTCCTTTGCTCGCCGCTGTTCTGTTCAACACCACGCAACCGCGCGTCGCTGCTGCTGTCCAGTCTGAGACGAAGCAGCTGCTCGACCGGCTTGGCGGCGCGATGGTCTCTGCCGCAGACAAGGGCCACTTCCTCCTCACCAGCCTCACTCAGTTTGCGGACACCTTCAACCTCTGCATCTCAGGTCCGCCCTCTTGCGTGTTGTTGTTGTTGTTGTTGTTGTTGTTGTTGTTGTTGTTGTTGTTGTTGTTGTTGTTGTTGTTGTTGTTGTTGTTGTTGTTGTTGTTGTTGTTGTTGTTGTTGTTGTTGTTGTTGTTGTTGTTGTGTGTGTGTGTGTGTGTCTGTGTGTGTGTGTGTGTGTGTGTGTGTGTGTGTGTTGATACGTTTCAACTCGTTGAACAGGCCCCATCTCACTTGCCACTACCAATTCTACCACAATTACAACCCACCACCAACCATCATCACCACTGTCGACCAGGTACGCACACGGCCGGGCACCGCACGCTCCCCGACAATCTTCCGCTGGACGCCGGCGCCACTGTCTTTGACATCTTCTTCAAGCGCTTCGCCGGCTCGCTCGAGGTGTGTGTGTGTGTGCGTGTGCGTGTGCGTGTGCGTGTGCATGTGTATGTGTATGTGTGTGCATGTGTGCACGTGTGTGCATGTGTGAGTTTGTGTGCTATGCGCACTGTGTACACGTGCGTTTCTTGTATTTCAAGTACGTGGACCAAGCGTCTTTCTCACCATCCGCACCACCACCACCATCACCACTACCGCCACCACCATCATGGCCACCACCAAGGCCATCCACCCGCTGCGAGACCTGACGGACGAGAAAATTCTGCAGGAGATCAAGAACACGGTTGGCCCACGCCCGCTGCTGCTCGTCCCCGATCGCGCCTTTGAGAGTCTCGTCAAGCGCCAGATACAGCGCCTCGAGCTCCCGAGTCAGTACACCAGCACTGCACGTGATCATGGTGGTGTGAGTGGATTGTGGTGGTGGTGTTGGTGTTGGTGGTGGTGGTGGCGGCGGTGGAGTGTCGTGCACTGGCGTTTTTGCGTGTCGCCACCCGCTGCTAATCGCGATCCACTCAACAATCGTGGTGACCATGCTCAGGCCTGCAGTGCGTGGAGGACATCAAGAACCACCTCTCGTCCGTCCTCACAGCCATCTGCCACCAGGAGGTGATGCGTTGTTCCACAAGTGTATTCATGCTTCCCACGCACGACACAGTGACCCGTCCGCATGCACTCCACGCACACACAGGCACAGAGACACAGAGACACAGACGCACAGAGACACAGAGACACAGAGACACACAGACATACACACACGCACACACAGACATACACACACGCACACACAGACATACACACACGCACACACACACACACATACACACACACACAGACATACACACACGCACACACACACACACTCTCTCTCTCTCACTCATGCACGCATGCTCACATTTGCCCGCCCATCCACGCCTACACCCAACCCAAAACCGCTCAATCCTCCTGCCTGCACGGCCTGCAGTCTCTGCGGTACTTCCCCGCGCTGACGCGGCGCGTGCATGACGTGGCAATTGGGTTCCTCAGCGCGTGCATGCCGGATGCGCTTGGCATGGTGCGCAACCTGATTGCGATTGAGGTTGCGTACATCAACACGGACCACCCGGAGTTCCAGCAGGAAGAGACCATGGAAGCCATTCTGCAGAACTGCTTCAAGCACAAGCCCGACGACGACCCGCTCTCCCTCGTCACAAAGGCCCTCGCAAGCCAAGGTGTGTGCATGTGTCTGTGTCTATGTGTCTGCGTGCCTGTGTGTGCCTGTGTGCGTATGTGTGGACGTCTGTGTGTGTATGTACCTGTGTGTGTGTGTATGCATGTACCTGTATCTAGTCACCAGTATCCATGTATGTACCAGGTATCGATGCCGATCTCAACCTGCTGTATGTGCTGACAGATGTGGACGAGAGCCTGAAGCCCGTGTCCTCCACAGAGACGTCAAGCGCTCCCAAGGTGCAGAGCACACGAGCCCACACGCACGTGCTCATCGCGACGTGCGGTGATGAATGCATGTGCATGTTCCCTGTATCCCTTCAATCATGACGAGATCATCATCTCACCTCCGTTGTCCGTGTGTGTGTGAATGTGTGTGCGCACAGGACACGAGCAACGGCGGGAGCAAATATTTCCCGAGCATTTTCTCGAGCCGGGCGACACCGGCGCCGACAACGCCGACAAAGGCGAGCAAGGAGTCATCGAGTGGACTCGACAAGATGGTCGCCGCACGCGCAGCCGTCGCAGCAAAGGTCACAACAGCAACAGCAGCAGCAGCAGTGGCGGTGATGATGGTGGTGATATGGATCATGGTTTTGCTGCTGTTTTGAGTTGGGCCGTGCGTGCGGTTGTGTATCACAATTCTAACGGAGGTAACTTCATGATCTCATTGTCACAATCACGAACATGTCATGCTTGTTGGTTACGCGCATCTCCGGGGAACTATGTAGGATGAGACTGCCATTGGCAAAGATAAGGTGAGTATGTGTGCATGCATGCGTGTGCGTGCATATGTGTGTTGGTGCTGCTGGCCTTCTTTGCACGTTCCAGGAAATCAATGGTCATCACGAAGCCCTAATCTTTATCGCACTACACGTACGTGCGTGTGCGTGTGTGTATGTGTGCAGTGGCAAGTGGACATGGTGAAGACGCTCATCACCAAGTACTTTGCAATCGTGAAGCGGAACGTTCTCGACTCTGTTCCAAAGGCCGTAAGTTGACACAGAGTTCTGGAGATGCGGGGGAGGGGGGCTCTGCACATGTGTGTAGGTGTGTAAGTATGTGTAGGTGAGAATGTGTGAAAAAGAGAGAGATAGAGAGAGAGTAGTGTGTGTGTTGTGTGTGTGTGTGTGTGTGTGTGTGTGTGTGTGTGTGTGTGTGTGTGTGTGTGTGTGTGTGTGTGTGTTTGTGTGTGTCTGTGTGTGTCTGTGTGTGTCTGTGCGTGCAGCCTTTGGCAAAATTTTCGAACATTGCACACAACCCCCCTCCCTCTCTCATTCACGCGCAAATCTGCACAATTCACTCACACGCATGTAAACGCAAACCACTGCAGGTGATGCACTTCCTTGTGAACCGGCTGCAGCGGGACCTGTCGAAGCAGCTGGTGAGCACGCTGTACCAGAACGACCTCTTTGACGCGCTGCTTGAGGAGGATCCTGAGATGGAACGGCAGCGGCGAGAGGCGCAGGCCCTCATGGACGCCCTCACAAAGGCCATGCATATCATCTCAGAGGTGTGTGTCTGTGTGTGTGTGTGTGGGTAAGTGTGGGTGTGTGTGTGGGTAAGTGTGGGTGGGTGCGTTGCCGTGTGTGTGTGTCTGTGTATGTGTGTGTGTTGATCCATGTCTACTGCTACTGTTAGTGCTGCTACTACCACTGCCGGTGTCATCCTCGGCTTCCATGGCGTTGTTGTCGCTCATCAGCATGCGTGCCTTTCTTTTCTCTTCACCCTTTGCTGATGCGAATCAGGTTGACGAAACCAGCTTCATGTGATGGGTGACGTGGCGCGATGACGACACTTCACACCACCACACCACACCACACACATCACTTCACACCACCACACCACACCGCAACTCTTGCGTTTGCGTTTGCCCAGTGTGTCTCGTTGGTTTGCGTTGGTTTTGCGGTGGGAGCGAGGATTAGAGAAGTACAATCATCTGTTACGCTCCAGGTGTCATCACTCCTCCCAGTCATGTCATGTCGTGTTACGTCTACTGTTGAAGGTGCTCACGGAAAGAAAGGCAGGCAGCGAGGGTGGGGAACACAAGAGCGCTACAAAGAACACATGCACACACACACACACACACACACACACACACACACACACACACACACACACACACACACACACGCACGCACATACAAAACCAAAACCAGACTTGAACAGTGCAACACGTTGCAGTGACCAGATGAATGAAAGAAATGAATGTACACATCGTATGCCAACTGAAGAAGTATGCATAACCGCACTCACAAACACACGACACACACACACACACATACAAACACAAGCACAGGCACTAACCATATCACCCCACATGTACGCTCTTCACACTCAACACCACTCCATCATCGTGCATCGACATTCCCCCCTCCCCCAACATCTACATTGGCACGCCTGCCCCTGCACGAGTGCTCAGAGGTTCTTGCCGGTGCGGCGCTTGTATGTCTCCTTGACAAAGTCGTAGTGGCTGGCGTAGAGCGGCATACCCGGTGTGATGGGCACCCAGGTGACGGCACCAGCATCATCGCCCGCCGTCAGCTCAAATGCCCCGAACACATCGCCCTTGTCGTCGTGGAAGTTCATGACAGTCTGGTAAGTGGGTTTGGTTTGGTTTGGTTGGTTGGTTGGTTGTTGGGAGGTTGGGAAGAATGGGTGAGACGACACGAGAGGCCGGGTGTCAGATACGCAAGGCACAGCATTGCTGTCACAACACAACTCCAAACGAAGCGCACACGAAGAAATAGCACATGCCCACACATAAATGCTCACACCCACACATAAACGCACGCACACATGACGCACGCACACGCACACACACAGACACACAGACACACAGACACACAGACACAGACACACAGACACACACACCATACGCACCGTCTCCATCCATGCGTTGTCCGTGTTGCGTGGATCATCGACGTATCCGCGGTAAATCACTTCGCCCTTGTGGAACGCGGAAGAGACGGCGTCCAGCGTCTTGGCGCGCTTGGCTTCCGGCATATCAAGCGTGTTTAGGGCCTCTTCGCTGAACTCGCGGGCGAGCGTGGCAGACACGTGCTCCTTGGGATCCACCATGCCCTGATGAACGAGAGCAGAGACGGTGTCGTGTTGGAGTCACATTGACGTGAATCAATCACAGCCACGACAACGCACACACGCACACACACACACACACAAAAAAAAAATACATTGCATTGTTACACATCACACGCACAGAGGTGCAGTTGCAACTCACCCCTGGAATTGCCCATTCGCCGTTGTCCTTGCGCTTGATGCAGACCATCTCCAGGATTGGTGTTCCGTTCTCGTCCTTCACCACTTTGCCAGCAGCATCACGGCGCCACCTGGCCCGATGGCCAAGCAGAGCAGCGAGAAAGGGAGTCAGGCGGGGGTGGGGTGTTTGAATCAAACAACATGGATGAGCAACATTCCATGATGAAGCGAGGAGGACACGGCTCGGCCCAGTTGACCGCAGAGACGGACACACACACACACACACACACACACACACACACACACACACACACACACACACACACACACACACACACACACACACACACACACACACACACACACACACACACACACAAATATGCGCGCACTTTTGTGACAATTGGTTTCACCGCGAATTTTGGACCCGAAGCGGCAGAGGAGAGCGCGGCGACATGTGCGCGTCCGCCCTATCGGTGTGGTGCGTGGGGAGATTGAGAGGAAAAGAGGGGGGGAGAGAGAGTAAACACACACCCACACACACACACACACACACACACACACACACACACACACACACACACACACACACACACACACACACACACACACAGCGAGGTGTGTCGTGATGCATATGCGTGAGATGTCACCCCCTCACACCCCCCCCCGTGTGAAGCACATATAGCGCGGCGTGTGCGTTTTCTTGTCTATGGCGCATTTGGAGAAAAGCTCTCCGCGCACGTGTGC